GGCAGAGGGCGAAACCTTGGGCAAGTTTCCTTACTCCACACAGAGCCTAATAATAATCCCTCCAAAAAACCGAAAACAATAATAAATTGGTCATTTTCAATCTACGACTGTTTGTGGGACATTGCTGTGCGCAATTGGCAGCCGCGTTCGCCCACAAACATACAGTCAATTCACTTTACAGTGTGTTCTGTGAAGCGCTTTGGGACGTCCTCCTGACGTGAAAAGCGCTATATCAAATGCAAGGATTATTATTATTTGAGGGGCTGAATGGCCTACTCCTGTTTCTATATACTGTAAAGTTGTAGTGACTGTGTCTTTTGTGGGTGAATGCTATCTAGATCTCGTCTAGTTTAATCACACTGCCTTGTTCGCTCCCCAAATCCTTCAGATTTTCAAACATACTGTCTAATCCACCTTTAAAAAGATTATTTACCTCAGCAATGGTTTGTGGCAGAGAATCCCACATTCCCACCGCCCTCCGTGGAAAAGAAATGTTTCCTAACCTCCCCTGTAATTTCTTTTTGTGACAGTCTTAAGTTTACGCCCTCGTTGCTAGCTCGACAACGAGTAAAAATTCTATCACAAGAATAACCTTGGAAACCTGCGTTGCTTCTCATGTGCAGTGAAATAACCTTATTGTGGAGTCCTGTTGAGCATTGGTTAGAGCGCTCACCTCGCATGCATTCCTGGGAACCTTAGGCAAGTCACCTCACTCCACATACCTCTGTTTATTAAGCAGGAAATAGGAACCCGGTTGTTAGACGATTGGCGGATCGATTTTCTGGGGGCAATGATCCCTTAAAAATCGTTGGCCAGGATCGTTATCCCTGCTTCTCCCCTGCCTTCCACCCTCCAACAGATCGGGTCTGTAACTCTGTCTGTCCAGCGCCTTGGGACGTCCTCCTGATGTGAAAGGCGCTGTGTAAATGTCTTGTTGTTGTTGTTAGTTGATTGACAGATTGCTTTTCCCGGGATAACAATCACTTGCCCCCAAATAATAATAATAATCTGGTCACTCAATCCATGACTGTTTGTACTCTGCTGTGCGCAATTGGCTGCCGCGTTTCGCCCACGAAATACACAGTCAATTCACGGTGTGATATATTCTGTGAAGCATTTGAGACGACTCAACGGCAGGATACAGCATATTCTGTGAAGAGTTTGAGATGTCTCAATGTCGTCATAAGGCGCAATATCAAATGCAAGGATTATTATTGTTGTCATCCTTCTTTCCAGTGTGGGGGGGAAAAAAAGGACCTGAATTTGGCGTCTATCAGCCTCTACCATTGAGAAGGCTCTTCCTGGCTTCAGCGATGGCAGTGTTAGCACGGCTTTGACTCGTGCCTTTACTTCTGCTGCATCTCATTGGGAACTGACAACTGATTCCCGTTTTTTTATAATCTCCCGGTTTGCATTCCTGCATGCTGAGAGGTCGCTTTTGTTTTAACTTGCCGTTTCGTACAGCTTCTTGTTGCATCAAAACCGCCTCAGACGACGAGTTCCCCTGAAGGGCGGGCTCACAGCACCGTTGTGTAGATGAACGCAGCGGCTAATCTACAGATAGCTGCATTGTCAGTGCTGCTCCTGCGCTCCGGATAAACCGAAGGCCCGTCTGCCTGTTCAGATAAACGTCAACGATCCCGTCATGCCATTTGGAAAGAGTGGCTTCTCCCGGTGTCAGGACCAATAGTACTCAGGCTAAAATTGTCATTTACTTCAAGGCTGTTTGTGGATCCTCCTCCTCACCCCACAAGCAGCTTTGATTACTCTTCAGGTCGTACTTTAAAAATGACCGCTTCGACCGCGCCTAGGGTCGCTTCTCCCACTGCTCGCAATCCATTCTCACCGCTGTAAAGCACAGTGCTTTGCCTTACGCGCTTTGCCCACAAAATACACAGTCACCCCACTTGGACAGTATCTCCTGTGAAGCGCTTTGAGACATCTCAACAACGTGATAAAGGGCTATATCAAATGCAAGGATTATTATTATTAAGACTGTATTTTATGTGAAGGACGCTACATAAATGCAGTCACTCTCACCTCTGAGTCAGAATGTTGTGGGTTGAAGCCCCACATTGAGACCTGGGACGCAGTCTGGAAAGACGTACCAGAATGGTGTTGGGCACTGCTTCTTTACTGGAGGTGCGGTGCTTTGAAAGAGACATTGACCTTTGAAGATCCCATGCCGCTATTTGAAAACGGATGGGAGTTTCTCCTGGCCAACGATTCTCCAAATAAAATCGGTCATTCACTTCATGGCTTTTTGTGGGAGATTGCTGCATTTGCCCACGAGCTGCACAGTCACTACACTTTATAGTAAATTCTGTGAAGCGCTTTGAGACGTCCTCCTGTTGTGAAAGGCACAATGACAAATGCGAGAATTATTATAAATTGTCGTTTTTGCTTTGCTATATTATTCCTATAAATAGTCCCCACGTTTTCTGAGAAGGTTTTTAATGGGTTTTAAAGTCTTAAGTACAAGAGCAAAAGCAGCCACGTGTTCTGCTATAATCTTTCGCTCGGAGTGCTAAATTTACAGAACAAGCTTAATGGGCTGAATGGCCTCTTGATCCTGTGTGGCCGATATCTGTGGTGAGGTGAACGAATACTTTAGATCACTTAGCTGTTGAGATTGATCCTTTCATCTGCCAGTAAATAATTGACCACGGAAAAACCTGGATGTACCATCATTAGAATGGGTGACTTCAGCACAGTCCCGAGAGCTCCAGTGTTTGCCTCTGAAAGCTGACACTGGAATAACTACTTGCACTTGTAAAGGAAGAGCTTATATTTTTTTATATAGCGCCTTAGCGTGGCTAACATCTCAAAATGCTTTAGCTTGGCTCAGTTGATAGCACTCTCACCTCTGGATCAAAGTTATGGTTTCACAACAGGACTCTGAGCTCACAGTTCAATGCAGTAGTACTTGAGATATTGTCCACTGGGTGGACTTTTCTACCTGTTTGGGTTAGCGAACTTCGGGCACTATTTGAAAAGAATTTGTCCCAAAGTCCTGGCCAGTAATCCTCCATTCAATTTCAAGAGCGGTTTGAATGAAGGGGACTCCCCTCAACTCATTTAATCTCACCCTCGTGTCCCCTCATCAAGCTTTTTTTTAAAAACGTCCTGCCATCAAGCACTCTTTTTCGAACTCGTTCCAGTCTTTTTTTTGGTCAGCTGGGTGTCTTAACGCATGCAGAAACATCAGCCATGCTAAGAGTATCCAAACCAAGCTGAGAATTCCATACATCCCACCTACACATGGAGATCCCAGAGATAGATGGTTGGAATGCGCTCTCTCTCTCTCTCTCTCTCTCTCCCTGCTTACCTAATTCCAGAGAGTATTTGGCGCGGGTTGGCAAGAGCCAAGGCATGGAAACCCCAGAGGGTAACTGCTGGAGGCTAACCAGCTAAACCTGCATAGCTTGCCGTTGAAAATTGTTAATTACCCTCTTTGTTAAGAATTGTATTTTAAATTCCATTTTAAATTCCATTTAAAATATATATACAGTACCTTCGTAAAGTCTCCTTTGAGCTGTAAATTTTCAAAACTAAAAGAGCTCAGGATTGTTATATAATACTAGTTCTTGCATTTGACATAGCGCCTTATTGGCTGACAACCGGGTTCCTACTTCAGGCTGGGTAAACAGAGACTTATATTATATCAATTATATATTATATAATGATTATTATGTAAAGCGCCGGCCTGCCCCACCATTGGCCGTCGAGCTTTCAGCCTTTGGAACTCCACCCCACATTCCCTTAGCCTCGTCCCCTTTGCCCCCTTCACGGCGCATCTCAAGGCCCTCCTCTTCGACTGCAAAGCGGTTAAGTGGGGCATAATCAGCGCACAGGCACGCAGACTGTGGGTGCTAGAGGAGACACCGCAGAGGGTGGGGGAGAGGGCAGGATGCTCGTTGTGTTATTTACCAGGTTGCACAACCTGGAGGATAACGCAGCGGCTCGCGGGGAAAAGAGAGAGGAAGGGAGGAGATAATAATAAAGGCTATACTGAACCTGATTCCATTCATTCGAAACTGGCGTCACGGCTGTTGGTTCAGACGGGAGATTTTGAAATGGCATCTATGAGCCTGAACCCACTGATGGCCGTGACTCCTGCAAATCTCCACTCACCAGCCGGTGCCCGGCAACTAGTCACACTATCTGCCAGGCAGACTGCAGCCATATTGTTCAAAGCAAGATCCCACAATTGGCCATTAAGTGATGGGCCATTTTATCTGGAGAATTATTATGATCCTTATATTTGATATAGAGCCTTTCACGTTGGAGATCAGGGAGATAAGGAGGTGCCAGGGAGAGCATGGATTTGTCGGTGAGGAGATCTCAAATCGTTGCAGGATTTACTGTAAAGTCTAATGACTGTGTGTTTAGTATTGTTGGTCAGGACATGGGAGAAAGTCTTTTTCAATGCTCTCATGGGATTTGGGAATGTAGTCCCGTAGCGTAGTGGATAGAGCACTTGCCTCGCGATTCCCGGGCAGGGCGAAAGCTTAAGCAACTTTGATTACTCCACATGCCTCCTGCTAACCTAGGAGTAAGTAGGAACCCGAGTGTTAGTCGAGTGTCGGATCGTTTTCTGAGGGTAATAATCCCTTCCCCCCAAAAAAAAAAATTTGGTCACTCAATCCACAACTGTCTGTAGGACACTGCTATATGCAATTGGTTGCAGCGTTTTGCCCACGAGATACAGTCAATCCACTTTACAATATATTCTATGCAGCTCTTTCAGGCGTCTCAAATGCAAGGATTATTATTATCATTATTTTCATCATGCAGCTGAAGAACGGGCAGACGGGACTTCAGTTTAATTTCTCACTCAAAGGGCGGCAACTCCGACAATGCAGCACTCCTGTGGCACTGCATTGGAGCATTGGCCTGGACTGTGCGGTGAAGTCTGCACCTCAGTCTATGACCTCCAGGGCCGTGTGGGGCTTCTCCAAACAATTGGCTTTGGTTGACTGTGTGTATTTTTGTTGCAGGGAGTGGAGCTACTGCTGTGGTTCAGGCCGCCTACTGCATACCAAAGAAAGAGCGGGTCGCCATCAAACGCATCAACCTGGAGAAATGTCAGACCAGCATGGACGAGCTCCTGGTAAAGGAAATCTACACGTTCGCTGCATAAAACAACAACGTGCATTTATATAGCACCCTTCGTGTCTAGGCCATCACAACTTTTCGATAGATTTAGGATAAAATCATTTATTTCTTAAGGAATTATCACATTTGTTTAATGTTGCGCCGGCTAACTAACCTCTAGTTAGATCCTGTTATTCCAGCTGTAAATCAGAAACAAGAGGCTGTAAGACTGAAAACTCGTTTATGAGAACCCAGTGAGAGGGAGATTAGAATTTCTTTTTATGCAAATGGTTAAGGAATATGAAATGCTTTGTCAGAAGTAGTTCTGGAAGCTAAGATCCCACATTTAACGTTAGGTATGTATGCTTACTTCACACGCCTCTGTTTACCTTGCAGTAAGTTGGAACCCAGTTGTTGGTTGATTGGCTGACCGCTTTTCTGGGGTAACAATTCCTTCCCCCTCCAAAAAAAAAGAAAAATGATTTGGTCACTTAATCCACGACTGTTTGAGGGAAACTGCTGTATGCAATTAGCTGTTGCATTTCGCCCACAAATATAGAGTCAATTCATTTTGTGATATAATCTATGAGGTGCTTTGAGATGTCTCAGAGTCGTGATAAGGTGCTGCATCAAATGCAAGGATTATTATTATTTAAAACTGAAGTTGTTTGCCAGTTGAAGGGAAACAGTATGGAGAAATAACTTTGAATTGCAGTGGGTGGCTCCAGTGAGGGAGCTTGCACGAGTGGATGCTTGATTCTCTAAATGCTCCGCAATATTTGTGGGCTCGTTGGGCTGCATGGCCTATTCTGTAATGTCTGATTCTGTGGGTGACGTTTTGCCATTAAAGCCTGAGGGATCATGTGAAAATCCCACTAGGCTGTGGTCACTCCTAAGTGTCAGGTTCTGAATTGCATGCTTTCACCCACTGGCAGCCAGTTAATGATGTGTGTGTCAGTGCTGGTTAATGAAGAGCCAGTGAACGGCGTGATGCTAGGCCTCTAATAGTAGGCTTGTCAGCAGCTGGCTCTCATCTTTAAACAGACTCCCATCTAATGTGAGGTGGAAAGATACTCCCTTCAGCTCTTCTCCCTATCGCCGAATGGATCGATTACAAGATCCTCACACTCCTCTTCAAATCCCTTCGTGCCCAGGCACCTCCCTACATCTCCAACCAGTTTACGTTGTCTGATGTGCCATCCTTTGGATGAGGCGTAAAACCATCTGTCTGTTGAGGTGGACGTTAAAGATCTTGTGACACTGCTGGAAAAGAAAAAGGAGTTTCTCCTGCCTTGGCCGTTAAACCTTCAGATAAATCGCTCGTTCACCTTGTGAGACCTTGCAGAGCTCAAGACGCGTTACATTAAACAGCAGCTTCTCCACAATTTCTGTGAAGCAGTGAGGGGTATTAAAGTGACAAGGAGCTATAAAATGTGAAGCTAATTGGTTGTTAATTCATGCAGGGTCACATTGCCTTAAGTGCATCATACCACCATGGAGTCCCATTAATTAGAGCATTTGCCTCGCAAGCAAGGGTTCGATTCCCGGGCAGGGAGAAGCCTAAGGCAACAACAAGATTACATTTGTATAGCGCCTTTCACGTCGGGAGGACGTCCCAAGGCGCTGGACAGAGTACAGCATTTCAGACCCGAGCTGGGTCTTTACTCCACATGCCTCGGTTTACCTAGCAGTAAGTCGGAACCCGGTTGTTAGTTGGGGTTTTCCGGGGTAACAATTCCTTCCCCCTACAAAAAAAAATAATAATTTGGTCACTCAATCCACGACTTGTGGGACACTGCTGTGCATAATCGGCCGCCACATTTCGCCCGCAAAATGTCCAGCGTCTTGAGACGTCCTCCTGACGTGAAAGGCGCTATACAAATGTAATTTTGTTGTTACATACAGTCAATTCACTTTACAGGATATCCTATGAAGTGCTTTGAGACATCTCGAAGACGTGATAAGGGCGCTATATCAAATGCAGAGATTATTTTTATTCATTTCAGGAAATATTGATCAGCGGTTGCGCTCGTTGCGGTATTTGATTGTTGTAAACATGATCTGTGTCTTGAAGCAGCAGTGGTTCTGACTGGGAGCAGGCCCTTAGATCAGCCCGTTTAAAAACGCTGCTAAATTGAGCGGGGTAACGAACAGAAAGAAGTTGAGGTTTTATAGCAACATGTCTCGCCAAAACGACTCCCAATTGTTTTGTGGGTAGTTACTGCTGTAGTGTGTTGACACAAGTCATTTTGCATACAGATAAGTCCCACAAGCAGCCAAGGAAGATTGCCGGCCCGGACAATGGAGGAAACTCCCTTCTCTTTTTGGATAGTGCCAGGTGTTCTTTAATGCCCACCTGGACTGACTGACCTCTATTCAAGCTCTCGTTCGTGAATGCAGTGTGTCAAGTTGGACTCAATTCTTGAAACACTGACCATTTCCTGCATTGATGTGAGACATTGATGTGGATCTGAGCCCCACACAGGAATAACAACAACTTGCCCCCACCCACGTAGTTTAGCGTCCCAGAACGCTCAACAGTGCCTGAGCCCGAGGCCGAGCTGGGGGTTGGTGGAGGTGACCGTTGGCACGGTCGAAGAGGAAGTTCTTCAGATGCGATTTGAAGATGAGGCAGGAAGGGGCAAGGCGGAGGGATAGAGGCAGAGTGTAGTAAAGTTTTTTTGTGGGGGTTGCATAGTGGCTGAAAGTGCGGCCACCAATGGTGGAATGGAGGGCCCGAGGGACATGCAGGAGGCCGGAGCCAGTCGAGCAGAGGCAGCATTATGGATTGGGGAGTAAGTAGGTCGGAGAGGTAGGGAGGTGCCAGGGCATAAAGGGATTTTTCCTATGAATTACACAGTCACTACACTTTACAGTATATTCTGCAAAGTGCTTTGAGACGTCTCAATGACGTGATAAAGCACTGTAACCAGGTGCAAGGATTATCATTATTATAATGATAATACCGCCCAAAGAAAGTTTAAGGTTGTGGCAGCTGGTTCGGGTAGGATGGGGATCAGCTGTAACAGTCTTCACGGCTGAGTAACCTGTCACCACTAGTGCCTGGACTCGTGCGTGAAAGATTAGCCACTTGGGGGAAGGTTCCTCTTGATTTACCTCTTTTCATCCAAGAAGCTTCCCGGTCACAGGCTTGTGAATGCTCACATAGGGTGATCTGGGGTTGCTGACCACAATTTGTTTTTGATGCCTTCTCTGTCGTGGATCGAGTAACCAAATTCTTATTAATATATTTTTAAAAATGTTTTACGGGATTATTACTCCTGGAAAAATGCTCTGCCTAATGTTTCGCTCTACGGGGAATCAAACCCGCGCCTCGCGCTTGCGATGCGAGTGCTCTAACCACTATAGCTCAATGGTTATTTTCAGCCTCGCAATCACCACTGTATTCTAATTGACCAATGAAGAGGCCTGCTCTTTGTGATTGAATCCTCGATACCGCTAGTTCGCTCTCTCCTGTTGTGTCTCTTTCTGTGTGATGGAGTGGGCGCATGTATCCACACAAGGAAATTTCCCTGTGTCTGAAATGGAGTGCACTCTCTCGCCCTGAAGGGACACATCCTGCTTACCTAAATCCAGAAAGTACTGTATTAAGCACAGGTTGACAATAATAATAATAATAATAATAATCTTTTTGATATAGCGCCTCATCACATTGCCGAGACGTCTGAAAGCCTTTCACAGAATACTGTAAAGTAAATAGACTATATATTTTGTGGGTGAAATGCAACAGCCAATTACGCACAGCAGCGTCCCACAAACAGTCGTGGATTGAGTGACCAAATCATTTTTTTTGAGGGATTATTGCCCCTAGAAAGTGATAGGAGTCATTGCGGTAGCTACTGGAATTTAATCAGCGGAAACCTCATAGTTTGCCATGAAGAGCACATTCTGGCAAACATCCCACTGCTTGTTCGGCTCGCTTTGCTTGCAGGATTAATGGGAGCTCAGCAGGAAGCATCCATGTCCCGAGTGACCAGGCTGCTCATCCTCGTCTCTCCTATGAGCCAGTTTGGCCTGTCATTCGCAGATTCCTGCTGAGCTTTCCACATTCATCTCCTGTAATTAAAGAGTGTGTAGGATGTAAATGATTCAGGGGAGGCTCCATCAATCATTAAAGCCCCCAGCGATTCAGAGAGGAGATCCCACAAAATATACAGTCAATTCACTGCGGTATATTCTGTGAGACGTCTCGAAGACGTGATTAGTGCTATTTCAAATGCAAGGATGATTACTATATTATATATCCCAAGTGCGCTGTTTCTCTGAGCAGCGATGTGGTGTGTCCACAGTGTGATTTTGCTGGAATCTGCCTTATTTTACTCTGCCCCCAAATGTACTTGGCACATCGAGGCTGTAGCTGTTCTTTTCTCCAAGGCTGAGGAATGTACTCGCCTCATAGGGTCGTAAAGTCACTTGTCATGAACAGTAAAATCTAGGGGAAGGTGGGGAAGAGGGGCAAGCTGACAGAGACAGGGTTGATTTGTTGCTCACCAGATCCAAACCATATAAGGTTCTTCATCCCAACCTCTTGTGATGAAATCTGGTTCGGATCTTTGTAAATTATATGCAGATTTAATTTGAATAGAAAAAAAATGTTCCATTGGAAGAGAGTACAATAGAAATTTACTTTATATAGTGCCTTTCATTTTGGGAGGATGTCCCAAAGCGGTTAACATGGGTGGGCACTGGGCTCGGAGCCAAAAATGGGTGAGAAGATGACCAAAAACACATTCGAAGAGATAGGTTATGAAGTGAACCTTGAACACAGCGACGGGAGGGAGAGAGAGGGGGCAGTTGGAGGGAGCACAAGAGCAAACCCTTTAAACACGAAACAGATCCAACTATCTCATGTGCAATCCCTTGTTGGAAGCGACGAGTTTGGGAGTCACAGGCCTGTCATTTAATTAGCAATCGTTTCACTGAACCAGGTCAGGCAGATGTCTCTCACCTCACGTGCCAATCTGCTCTGGCAGGATTTCTGCCAAGGATTTTTATGTTGCACTAACTGGCCTGAATAATGGGAGCCACAGTGCTGCAGTCTGTCAGAACCTTGATAGAATTTACCAGGATCCTCAGTTTACTTGGACAACTGGGTAACTATCTGCCCGAGAGCGGTATCCGAGGACTGATGGGCTGACTCACCTGCTTGGCTCAGCAGGTAGCACTTTCGTCTCTGGGGATGAAAGCTGTCATTTTGGGTGTTCGCCTCACAGACTAGAGCGACACTCTAGTCTAGAGTGTGAAGTCCTGTAGCTCAGTGGTTAGAGCACTCGCCTTGCAAGTGAGCGAACCCAGGTTCAATTCTGGGCAGGGTGAAACCTTAGGTAAATTTCATTACTCCACACATGCCTATTTAGCAGTAAGTGGAAACCAGTTGTTAGTTGTTTGGCTTTTTCTGGCTTTTCTCCCTCAAAAGAAAAAAGATGTGATCACTTAAGGAACACTGACAGGAACTGAGGTGGTATGTAAACATCTAATGGATTGTCGTCCTTGCTCTTTTCTCAACAGAAAGAAATCCAAGCTATGAGCCAGTGCCATCACAGGAACATAGTTTCCTACTATACCTCATTTGTGGTGAAAGACGAGCTGTGGCTGGTGATGAAGCTGCTCAGTGGCGGTGAGTCTGTTCAGGATCTTGAGATGCTTCAGAAAGCTCTGGCCTTTAATAGATCACATTCCTTTGGTTCTGCCAACTTGGCCAGGCAACTCATTACAGTTGTACTTCACTCGTTTCTCTCGACCGCATGCAGCACAAAGTGATGAGAAGCTATTTATAAACTCTTTGAACTCAAATTGGATGCGTTGTTTTAAAAGGTAAAAGATACTTGGGAAGTTAAGAGTATGTGGAGAGACTAGAGAGGCTGGGATTGTTAGAGCAGAGATAGTTAAGGGGAGATTTAACAGAGGTGTTCAAAATTATGTGGGGGTTTCGATAGAGTAAATAAAGAGAAACTGTTTCCTATGGGGAGTAGATCGGTAACCAAGGGACATAGATTTAAGATAATTGGCAAAAGAACCAGAGAAGCGATGAGGAGAATTTTTTTTAAACAGAGTTGCTACAATTTGGAAATGGTGATGGAAGCAGATTCGATTGTAGATTTCAAAAGGGAATTAGTTAGTTACTTGAAAAGGAAAAATTTGCACGGCTATGGGGTAAGAGCGGGGACTAATTGGTAGCTCTTTCAAAGAAACTGCATGGGCCAGATAGCCTCCGAAGTTGGTTCAAAGGGAAAGGTATTGAGACAGACCTTGAAAGAGGTGAGGGCAGGGGCTAGGCAAAGAGACTCTGGGATGGAATACCAGAAAGCCCAGCTGCCGATACAGGGCAGTGGACGTGAAGAGGTACCATTTACCTGGCCTTTCCAATACCCCTGTAGCTGACTCCTTTTTAAGGTAAAGGGGTCATATAATTTTTTGATAGAAACCTAGTGATCCTTGCTTTGTGTTTGTGCTTTGCAGGTTCTGTGTTAGATATTATTAAACACGTGGTGGCCAGAGGAGACCACAAGACTGGGGTTCTGGAGGAGGCCGTCATTGCAACCATTATGAAGGAGGTGCTGGAGGGGCTGGACTATCTTCACAAGAACGGACAGATTCACAGGTAAGCACACCTGGCTCTGGCCTGGCTCAGTCCTATGGCCTTTCCTCTACAGGAGTCCTGTAAATTAGTGGATAGAGCACTCGCCTTGCAAGCGAGAGGATCCAAGGCAAAACCTTAAACAATTCACTGTACGGTATATTCTGTGAAGCGCTTTGAGACCTCTCAACAACGGGATAAGGTGCTATATCAAATGCAAGGATTATTATTATTAAGCCAACTTTTTAATAATTCAGTCTTAGAGGAAGGTGAGACACAGGAGATTAACTCTCCTACCCTGAGAGCTGTCAGGTAAGTTTAAAGTCTTACTCAAGGGATGGCATGTCTAGCGATGCAGCATCACCCAGTTCTGGACTAAAATGTCAGCCACAAGTTGGAATTTGGGTTTCGCAGTCCAGGCTATGCTGATTACTGTAGTACTGGGATGCTGCTCTGTCAGAAGTGCCATCCTTCGAATGAGATGTTACGTTAAACTGAGGTTGCATCTACCTGATCAGGATTCAGTTTTTTTTTGCTCCATTTCAGCCAAGGACAGGGTTAAAGATATTGTGGAGGATTTAAAAAGAGAAAGGAGTTTGGGGTCTTGGCCAAAAATCCTGATAAAATTAGTCATTCACCTTATGGCTGTTTGTGGGATCTTGTATGCAAATGTGTTGCTTTGTTTGACTACAAACACATAGAATCTACTTAGTAGTAATTATTGTGAAGTGCTTTGAGACCCATCAGTGTTGTAGATGCGATATCAAACAGGGATTCTTTTTTCAACATTCACAGCTGTGATGAATGAAAGTCTTTTCTCTGTTCCAGTGTCTGTGTAATGCTGTTTAGGCAGTCAGCACAGCTCCTAATTGGGAATGGGGGGAGGGGGAGAGAAATGCCACAATACAAACTAGCTTGCAATTATTGGCACACAATACATGGTTGGCGAGGTGGGGGAAAAGCAGTGCTTGGGGAAGACTAGTTGCATTTTTTATTTTGGTTAGCCAGGTATCCAATATGCTCAGAACAGATCTAAAAACCAGAAGGGAGATGAGGAGAAGCTTTTATTTGTACCCAGAGAGTTGTTCCAGTCTGGAATGCACTGCCTGGGAGGGTGGTGGAAGCAGATTTGATAGTAGCTTTCAAAAGGGAATTGGATAGGTACTTAAAAAGGAAAAATATTTTCAAAACAATGGGGTAAGAGTGGAGGAGTGGGACTTGGTTGGTAGGTCCTTCAAAGAACCGGCACAGACACGATAGGCCGAATGGCCTCCTGTGCTGTAAGATTCTTTAACCACAATAAATGATACTTGTATAACTCCTTTCACGTCAGGCGCTTTACAGATGTCGCAGGAGGACGTCCCCTTGCTTCAGAATGTTCCGATTCAGACAGTGTTCAACATACACCTGCCACCTGCACATGGGTATTGCCTGTGTCACGCTGTATTTAACCCACTAATGACCTCTGAGACCCTGTTAACCCCATATCAATTTGTCTGCTCCCTCCGCTCAGCAGTCTCTGGCCTGCTTCGCGTACCACACCCCTCCCCATCATCAGCGGTCAAGTCTTCAGCCTCTATGCCTCCACTTTTGGAACTTCATCCCACTGTCCTTTCGCCTCACCCCCTCCCTTACCTCCATCAAGACAAGTCTCAAGACCCTCCTCTTCGACTGCGCCTTTGGCCATCCTCCTACCTTCACTCTCCCTGCCCTCCGCCCCCCAGCTCTGGTCTAAATCCCTGACCTTCCCGTGCCTTGGGACATCCTCCTAATGTGTAAGCCGCTGTACAGCTGTGTGCTATCTATTCAGCTATCTGATCGGCGATGCTTTATCGTCCTTAGAGCTCCGGACGCTGACCTCAACAACAACAAGATTCCATTTATTGAGCGTCTTTCACGTCGGGAGGACGTCCCAAGGCGCTGTACAGTTGGGTCAGGATCCGAGCAAGGGGGAAATGGTCAGGGGAGGGAAGGAAGGGAGCGAGGAGGGGGTAGAGAGTTGAGAGGGGAGCTGAAGGCACGGTCAAAGAGAAAGGTCTTGAGACCGGCCTTGAAGGAGGAAAGGGAGGAGGCAAGGCAAAGGCACTGCAAGTAGTTGTTGTTGAAGTAGGGAATACACACAGTCAGTCTACCCCTCTCCTGAAGTGATAAATTGAGGCCCCAACTACCTGCTGTGGTGGGCGATAAAGATGCCATGACACTTTTGGAGGAGAGATGTCAGTTCCTGATAAATCGGATATTCTTTTCATGGCTGTTTGTGATGATTTACCATGTACAGCATATGGTTGCCTCGTTTGCCTATAAATCAACAGTCTGTAGTGCTTTGATGCATTTTGGTATCACATGTTATATAAGATAATTAGACAGTGTTATGTACGAGAATAAACCATTCATTCCCCCTCCGTCACATGCTCCACTGAGCCCCGTTTAGTTTGCTGAGAAAATCTCTCTCCTCTCCGCCCCCCATTTCCCGCAGCAACCCTGGAGCAGAATATCTAATCTTAACTCACATCCTACATTATTCATCTCCGACCAATCTCCTCCTTTGGCCTCTCAGTTCCCAGGCACCAGGAACCGTCATGTTCCAGCCGGCTTTTTGATTATCTCCATCTGTTCTCCCATCCCGTCCCCAGGCAGATAGCTATCCATGTCTGTCCAGAAAATTATTCAGTCATTTCAGGGATGTCAAGGCAGCCCCTTAGCTTTCTAGTGGGATTGCCGGATAGCAGCACTAAAGGCCCAGTTTGCTAATAGTGCGTCATGATCCCAGGAATCCAGTGTGATACTGCAACCTGCACTCATGAACCCCCTCACACACCCCTCGGGGCAAATGGTGGGCACGAGCTTCCATTATGTCAGTCTGGCTCAGTGGTAGTGCTCTCTCTCTCTCTCTCTCTCTCTCTCTCTCTCTCTCTCTCTCTATCTCTCACCTCTGAGTCAGAAGGTTGTGGGTTCAAGCCCCACGTTGGGACTTGGAATCACATAGTCTAAGCTGATGCTCAAATGTAACGCATGGGGAGGGGATTGATGGAGACACTGTTCTTTGGATGGGACATTAAACCCAGGTCCCGTCTGCCTGTTCAGGCGCATGTTAAAGATCCCACATCGCTAATTGGAAAGAGAAAGGAGTTTCACCCGGTGTCCTGACCGTCAACCTCCACCCCCATGGCTGTTTATGGGATACTGCTGTGTGGATATTGACTGCTGCGTTTCACCCACAAAATACATCAATTCACTTTACAGCGTATCCTGTGAAGCGCTTTGAGACATCTCAACGACGGGAGGAGGCGCTACATTAACTGCAAGGATTATTATTTGAATATTATTGGGTCTCTCTGAAAATCGGGGAATATTACTCCTGTTTCTTCATTTATTGTGCTGGTAGTGTTATTTGTTGATTGCACAAACTAATGGTGGTTTGTGTGTGTGTGAGTGTCATTTTATAGTGTGAGCTGCTGACTGTGGCAAGCTGACCTGCAGAGACAGAACCGGTAATACAGAAGCATTTTGTTCAACGCTCAGCCACCTTGTCCCTCTCAAGTTAGTTTGGGAATTAATGAGCACTCGATGGCTGATGAAGCTACGCAGTGCTTCTCATTATATTTTGATCAATTGCGTGTCTGACACACATAGAAACCCATCGCCATGCTGATGCGGATTCAAAACAGACTGAGAACCAAGCTTTATGGAGTCTAAACACCAGAAGCAGCATAGCTTGCCGTTGGGGCTGTGGCTTGCAGGGTTAAGAGGGAGTGGGAAGTTGAGTGGGAAGAATCGCTGCACTGATCTGCTGCCTCTCCCAAGCCCTGGTGATGACCCAGACTGGCTAGTCTGTCATCAACAGTGCCTTGCAGACCCACTTGAATCAGGAACCAGACTACCATGCCCACCTCGCAAAGCACTTGGGACGTTTCCACGTAACAGCTACTGGGTTAGATGCAAAAACCTTGCATTTTTATTGCACATATTACTCTGAAACGCAGAATTGATTATAGTGATTACTCACTATAATCAATTCCGCTTCTAACAAACCCAGAGTTTTAATGATTCTAACGCCAATCCGGTAGGTCAATGGAGAGGGCTGCCTCTTTGACAGCTAAACGCTACGATAGTGAACGTCCTCATATAATGATCTTGATAATGATCAAACCTCACTATAACTAATCTCTCGAGACTGGCGATCCTGCCAGTCTCGAGAGATTAGTTATAGTGAGGTGTGACTGCACTCTTCCGTTTCTAGCTTATTGCCTTGCAACAACGGGCCTAAAAAGACTCTGCTTCTCTGCTCCTCTCTTTCCCCCACTAACAGCCACTGGTTGTTCATTAGGCAATGCGATACAATACAAATAGTGCCTTACCACGTCATTGAGACGTCTCAAAGCGCTTCACAGAATATACGGTGAAGAGAATTGATTGTATATTTTGTGTGTGAAACGCGGCAGCCAATTGCGCAGCAGTGTCCCACAAACAGTCGTGGATTGACTGACCATTATTTTTTTTGAAGGGCTATTTACCTCCGGAAAGCAATCTGCCAATCGACTAACAACTGGGTTCCTACTTACTGCTAGGTAAAATCCATGTGGCGTAAGGAAACTTGCCTAAGATTTCGCCCTGCCTGGGAATCGAACCCAGGTCCTCTCGCTCGCAAGGCGAGTGCTCTAACCAATCACTACAGGACACCAAGTAACTATCATATGATGATTTAGGAGCTATTGTTCTGTGCCCTTGTATTGCATATGGTTCAGTAGCTTCTGTTAAGAAAATAATACATTTTTAGACATTTCATTATTTACGACATCTAAAGCTTCAGAGTAGCCACAGTCCTCATGCAGTGCCTAAGGTCCTAGAGGCAGTGCAGAGGAGACCAACGAGGCTGATCCCGATTGTTGGAGGATTGAGCGATCAGCAACAACAACTAGACAAGCTCAGGCTTTTCAGTCTTGAGAGGGAAGAATTCTGTCGAGTGTGTAACATTTTAAATGAGATTCAAAATTTCAATCCAGAACAATACTATTGGATGCACC